CACATTTATTATTAATGTCCCTAACCGCTTCTCTAGGCACTTTATGTTGATAAAGCTTAGTCAATGCAAATATAATTTTGAACTGTTTAACCCGCTCAGAGTTGTTTGCAAGAACCTTTATTCTCATTAACGGACTCTTTAAAGTCCATTAAAGCAACATTGCTTAATACGCGCGATTTACCTATGTCGTACTTAAACTGACTTAACCTTAAATATGTCATTATGAGTCGAAAATTAATTTGTTGTTAACAATTATCGGTTGCCAAGCTTATGCATGTTTGCGATGGCTTAGGGGTTCACTTGCAATTTGGTCCTGTATCGGTTGTGGGTGTGGCTCTATGCTAGTTGTGTACATGCTTTTTTCTTTTTTTTCTCCTTATTTGTGGTATTGTACTTATACTAAGTTTTATTATTAATTAATTTTAAGATTTACTTAAGAGTCAATTGAACTCGACTGCCATTTTGTTTTAGTTGAGTTTCTTGTATAAGTGAAATAAATAAATAAATAAATAAATTACGTAAAAGTCGATTATTTGTACAAAGCTCTCGAGATAATACTCTCCACACTACAGAAAATACTTTTAACTTAAATGAAAATGAAACACGCAAGTCAAAGGTCAAGCCATTGTCCTCAAGCATAAGCGAAGGTCATCTTAATCTGCTAAACGAGTTACGAAGGAAATTAATGATGGGAACTTTCCCTAGCAAGACCCCGGAAAAAAGTGCCTAAACTTTGCGACAGATGACAAAGGAAACCGATGCGATCAACGTTACATCAATTTAGATTAGAAAGCAGAAGGCTTGGACGCCGTCTAAAAAAACAAACGCATTAGGCAAAGTACAGTCAGAAAACTACTGAAAAAGTGAATAATGCATTCTAAAGTTTACATTTTCTTTGCACAAGCTAAGGCTCCGAACAAGGATCGAGAGAAAAACGAACATTCGATAATGGACATTAGAACTAAATGTTTGAAGGACTTCATGCCAATAAGATGGATTTTCACGCATAACGACAAAACAATTAATAATCGCTTGTACAGTTTTGGTATGTCCCGAGCTTAACTGCATAAAAATTTTATAGAATCTTGTTATAGGGACAAGGCAAAAAAATGTGTAGAAATAACGATTCAGAAAAGTATTAAAGACGTCTCGCATTCTATAACGAAAAAGACATGTCTAAAGTTAGTCAAAAGCATGTGTCGCTGTCGCAGATGTGAAGCGGTAATCGTCAAATCGGGATAAAATGCGACTACAATCGATGGAGTAAATATAGAGAAATATTAGTTTGGGGAAAAAGAAATCCATTATTTTTTCGGTAGATGGCTGGCACTGATAGATTTCTCGTAAAGTATCGATCAAATAATTTCATATTTATGCTCGTTGGAAAGGTGATATTTCGCAGTAAAAAAAAATTCTTTTGTTGTTTTTTGTTTGGTGCATTCAGTTGAGAGTTACAGCGTGTTAAAAATGGAAGTGAACAAAGAGAAAATTCGGTACATTTTACAGTTTTCCTTTGACAAAGGCGAAAATGCAAGCCAGGCGGCTAAAATTGTGAATGGTGTTTATGGTTCCGATACTGTAACAGCCAATTATGTGCAATTTTGGTTTCGTAGATTCGGTTCAGGAATTTTTGATGTTAAAGATGCACCTCGCACAGGTAGGCCGGTCGTCGAAAATGTCGATAAAATCGGAGAAATGATCGAAGTTGACCGGCATGTTAGCAGTCGTAACATCGCCCAGGAGCTAAAAATCGACCAAAAAACAATTTTAAACCATTTACACAAAGCTGGATTCAAAAAGAAGCTCGATATTTGGGTGCCACACTAATTAACAGAAAAAAACATGATGGATTGAATTTCCATCTGCGAAGCCTTGGTCAAACGGAATGAGATAGACCCATTTCTTAAACAGATGGTGATTGGAGATGAGAAATGGATCACATACGATAACCCTGTGCGAAAACGATCGTGGTCAAAGAGCGGTGAAGCACCTCAAACGGCCAGAAAGGTTTTGCTATGCATTTGGTGGGACTGGAAGGGGATTATTTATTATGAGTTGCTTCCAAATGGCCAAACGCTAACTTCTGATCTCTACTGTCAACAACTGGACCGTTTGAAGATAGCGATTGACCAGAAACGGCCAGAATTGGCCAACAGGAGAGGTGTCGTGTTCCACCAGGACAACTCTAGGCCACACACTTCTACAGTGACTCGCCAGAAACTTCGGGAGCTTGTCCGGACTTGGCAGCAAGCGATTATCATCTTTTTCTTGCATTGCAAAATTTCTTTAATGATAAAAAATTGGAATCTAGGGAGGATTGTGAAAATCGACTACTAGAGTTTTTTGCAAATAGAGATCAGGACTTTTATGAGAGAGGCATTTTGAAGTTACCTTTGAAATGGCAACAAGTCATACAACAAAACGGTGCATATTTGACCCAAATCGGACAATCCGAAGCATATTAAATAAAGTCCTGAAGTTCATATAAAAATAATGGATTTCTTTTTGCCCAAACTAATTTTTAACTTTTAAGTGTCAAGAAGGTCTCTTCAAGCAACCAACTTTGTAAAATATGTCTGTATCCAAAGAGTTTCCATGCCTTTGTGATTATTTTACCGCATCAATTTTCTTGTTTTACTTAAAAATCTCTTATGTATTTTAAGTTAACCTCAAAATTAAGTTAATCTAAACCTAAACCTAAAAACGTTTATAAACCTTTTAATAAACTGTTTTATTGCTTTCGTTGTAAATGTTGCGCTATTTAAGTGTCGATGTATGTATATAGAGCGATTCAGTCTTCACTACATTGTTTTTACATCGATTCCTTACCGATCATATGCTTCATTCCTTAAAAAAGTATTTTTTGTTTTTTTTCTGCTACTTGTAAAGCCATAGGCTTATTACCTAGTTACATAGATACATTTTTTGTGCAAACAGAAATTATAACATAAGTGAGAGTACAAGTCGACTAAATAACTACTAATGTAATCATCTTGCTCCGTAAGTTTCGTAACCATCAATTCCTATCAGCAACAAAATACACATAGTGCGTTCAGCAGTGCGATCAATTTTCTTCTAAAGGTAATCAACGAACCTTCGAAGAATTTCGGACTCGTTGGTAAGGAATTCCAATAGGCAGCAACACGAACACTAAAAGATCGTTCGGCTGATAATCGTGATATTAATAGGAAAGAATTTCTATTGCATCTAGAGAACTGAAATAGTTGGGGATCGGCTTAGAATAATTTTATAGAGGTAGATAAGAAACCTAAACGTTGGATAATCGGGAAAGGAGAGCATTTTAAGAAAGCGCGAAAGAAGGAAAAGATATGGTCTCTAAGCCTAACCCTACAGACAAAACATGTTATACGGTTAACAATATCTCGAAGCTTAACTTAATTATATTTTGGGTATCCAGAGAAGACTTTGCTACAATAGTTAATGTGCGTCATGAGGAGGCAATGCGCAGTGGTATGTTTAACCTTTAAAGGCAGATATAGATTTAGACTGTACAGTTTTCGGAGCGTAAGACATGGTCAACGTGGAAGCTAAACTTGAGCTTGAGATGAAGAGTTACCCCGACAAATTGCATTAATTCTACAAGATCAATGAAATATATTTTTATAGCGAGGTTGAAAGCCCCAGCACGGAGAACATTGCAGCCTAAGACTTTAGCTTTGCTTAATATCCATAGAAAGGGAAGAGTTAGAGTCGTTCACAGAAGCAAACGGGTTACGATCCGAAATATACGACCACATAAACTTACAAGCGCTCCGAGTGAAGTTGAATTTATTATACACTTTGTTAATAAGCTTAGCGTATGGAACTCTGTCAAAAGCTTTAATTAGATCGAGAGTGACAAGAACACAGCCCCCGCAAGCATTGATATTATCCATAATGTATTCCATGACGGAGATTAAAAAATTCGAGAGGCAATGTTAATGCGGAAAGCCGAGCTGGGGATCATGCAGGGCATAACTGTTATTCAAGAATAAGTCAAATTGTTCTTTCATGATAAGCCGCGTAACTTTGAAGACACGGGATAGGATGTTAATCGGTCGAAGGTTATTATGAGCAAAAGAGGCGCTTTGTTTGGGAATGGCTATTTTCCACTCCTTCGGAAACTTGAAGGTCATTAGTATCGTATGGAAGACCTGTAGTAGATGGTAAGATATTTAGGGAAAAATCAAGTTAACAAGTTCTGCTTAGAGTTAGCTTTTCCGAAGAAGTTGGCTTAGGCTTGATTTCTTTCCTTCCTCCCTTCCTTGCATATTAACTATTATCTCTCGTAATAATTTTATCTTGAAAAACTCGAATCAATTTGAAACTTATTAACGAGATAAGACACCATTGCTTACCTTAGGCTGAAAGAAAAGTTTCAGTATTTGCTCACGCTATTTTATAAGACCATTAGCGAAATAACACTGCTTTAACCTTAACCACATAGAGTGTTCTTTACTGTGCGTATCAGTAGTAGACATATTTTTGATTGGCAGTGTATGTATATATGTATGTGTTACTCGTATATAAAAATGAATGCAGAGTTCAAGTGCATGCACAGGCTTGCTTACGTATACATATATATGTATATATATATATATATATGCCTGCATGTAAATGTACACACATTTCGAGGTAAGCATGTGCAAAACCCATTGTCCCACTGAATTTCTGAATTGTACATGTAATGCATTCACATAATTTATTATTGTCGGCGTTTTAGTTAATAGGTGTGCAATCAGGTATAGTGAGGAAACTGGTCGTAACAATGACCTCGACAATTTTCTTATTATTATAAGCATTTTACGTATATAAGGCAGATTTAAAAAAGTGATTATTGAATTTCCACAATCTCACCCCCAATCGTCTGCTCCTTCCTGTTCTTATGATATATTCTTTATATACTCTGTAGTGTAGTTGGAAAAAAAAAAAAATAAGGCAACAAAACTAGACGATCCTATGCTATTTTCTTTGATTAATTTCTATATTTTCTATTGCAGGACGCGATGACTTGTCCCCATCGAGCAGTCTTAATGGCTTTTCAACTAACGACACTAGTGATGGGAAAAAAATTAAAAAAGGTCCCGCTCCACGTTTACAAGAAGAGCTATGTTTGGTGTGCGGTGATCGGGCTTCGGGTTATCATTACAATGCTCTCACCTGTGAAGGCTGTAAGGGTTTCTTTCGACGAAGTGTTACCAAAAATGCCGTCTATTGTTGTAAATTTGGTCATGCTTGTGAAATGGATATGTATATGCGTCGTAAATGTCAAGAGTGTCGACTAAAAAAGTGTTTAGCGGTAGGAATGCGACCGGAATGTGTTGTACCGGAAAATCAATGTGCAATGAAGCGACGTGAAAAGAAGGCACAAAAAGAGAAGGACAAACTGCAGACCTCTACCTGTAACACTGACTTTATAAAAAAGGAAATTCTCGACCTGATGACATGCGAGCCACCGTCGCACCCTACAGCTCCGGTAAATTTTTAACTGAACATCATTTCAAGATGCAATTAAAAATACATATATATGTTCTTTCAATACTTGCAGCTATTACCTGATGACATTTTAGCGAAATGTCAAGCACGCAATATACCTCCTCTAACATTCAATCAACTGGCGGTGATTTATAAACTAATTTGGTATCAGGATGGGTATGAGCAGCCGTCAGAGGAAGATCTCAAAAGAATAATGGTTGTAATTAAGGACAAATTTAAAAAAAATCATGAATACCGCTTTTAACAACAACTTCTTCTTCTGTTAAATTATAGAGCTCACCGGACGAAAATGAAAGTCAGCATGATGTTAGCTTTCGACATATTACGGAAATCACGATACTGACTGTACAGCTTATCGTTGAGTTTGCCAAGGGTTTGCCAGCGTTTACCAAAATACCGCAAGAAGATCAAATAACGCTTCTGAAAGTTAGTCTTTTTAAAATACAAAACAAAATTTACTTTAATCCTCACTATATATGTATATACAAATTTCTTCTCTTATATTATATCGCAGGCCTGCTCATCCGAAGTAATGATGTTACGTATGGCGCGTCGTTATGATCATAACTCAGATTCAATATTTTTTGCCAATAATCGATCGTATACGCGTGACTCGTACAAAATGGCCGGCATGGCTGACAACATTGAGGACCTATTGCATTTTTGTCGGCAAATGTATTCCATGAAAGTCGACAACGTCGAATACGCACTACTCACTGCCATTGTGATCTTCTCCGATCGGCCGGGTCTCGAAAAAGCCGAACTAGTCGAAGCGATACAAAGCTATTACATTGATACACTCCGCATTTACATACTTAACCGCCATTGTGGCGACCCCATGAGTCTAGTGTTCTTCGCCAAGCTGCTTTCCATACTAACTGAACTGCGTACATTGGGCAATCAAAATGCAGAAATGTGCTTCTCGCTAAAACTGAAAAATCGCAAACTTCCAAAATTCTTGGAAGAAATTTGGGATGTGCACGCAATACCGCCATCCGTGCAATCGCATATACAAGCAACCCAAGCGGAGAAAGCAGCCCAAGAGTCAGCCACGACATCGAGCAATATGTCGAATGCGTTGACTGCTGCGACCACGACATCTTCCTCCATAAACTCAACCTCGTCATCAGCAATGTCTGCATCCACTTCACCGCCAACAGCGGTAGCGGCGTCCACCACTATCATAACGCCTAATGGTTATGCTTATAGCAATTTGTCAGGTGGTGGCATGAGCCACAATATGGGCTCAGCCCAAGATGAGGCCGCATAGCAGTAGTAGTAGTTATTGTTATCGAATGACAACAACAACACAAATCGTCTGCTTTTATTAAGTACATTTTCGACTGCCGTCGTACTCTCCAATAATGATAATGTTATTCAGTAATTTAATGAACACAACACAACCGCAAAATAAATGTGAGTGGCTAAAGCTGTGTTCTACATTTATAAGTATACTTACATATTTTACAAAATTTATGTACAGTCAAACAAACATACATACACGTACTATTGCTTATTATAAAAAAACAAAAACCTGCAATACGTTAGCATTTCCGTTTTATTTTTTTTTTTTTTTTCTTGATTTTATATATCATAAAATCGCGCAAGAGGGTTTCTACGCGTGTTATGCTTAGTTTGAACACAAAATTTATCTAAATTTCTTAAGTGTTTCGAAGCTATGCAGAAGTCGAAAAAAACCTTAGCAATGAGGGAAAGGCAGAGATTTGCAAAAAAAGCAAAAAAAAAAAGAAAGGAAAAAAATTAAAATGAGCAGAGTGTGCGTGTGTGCAAGCTGTTTATTAGTCATTTCCTAAAAGCGTTCTACAAAATGCTGTCCTTTCCGTGAAGATGATTTGACCACGTCGTCGTCGTCGTCGTCGTAATAAGTGTATGCACACGAGCGAACCTCTTTGGGTAATTGTTTTGCGAATTTCTCTCATTTCATGAGTGCAAACCCCCCCTTATATATTTAGAGTTTTAAAATTCTTGGCTTTATTTCTATTTTTCTGTGATTTTATTAAACAACAACAACAACAAATAGGAAACGAGAAGAATTGAAGAAAGGAAGACAAAATGGGAGAAGAAGAATAATTGAGTATTTTACCTGTAATGTACACATTGTAAGTGTTGTTCAAAGAAAAAGAAAACGAAAAAAAAATAAATAAATAAAAACGAAAAGAAAAGAAAAGAAAAAACAAAACAAAACATATGCGCACGTTTACGGTTAGAAAGGTAAGGTCAATCAGTCAATTGTTGTTGGTTGGGTTGGTTAGTTTGGTTGGTTGATTGATTGGTTGAATTGGTTGGGTTGTTTGATTGATTAGGTGGTTGATACAGGCACATAAAGCAATAAATGTACTACACAGGCAGAACAGAAGAAAAACAAATGAATATCTCTATCTAAGGCTAGCGATAATAGTTAATACAAATTTAAAAAAAAAGTAACATAAGCCAGCATAACATGCCCGCATATAATGCGCCTATATATACCTACCTGTTTATGCATGTAAAGGTATGATGCAATGTTATCGTCAATGTTATCGTTTGCCTGCATTATTTTGTGAATTCTATTAGTTTGTTAGCAAAACGTGTTCACTTATGTTGTTATTTCATGGGTGAAAACAACAGGAAAGAAACAAAGAAAAAACAAAAAAAAAAAGAAAAGTAAAAACAAAAGCATAATGCATTCTTCAATTTAGCTTTTATAATATAATTAGGATTATATTTAAATTAACTGTAGTCATTTACTTGTAAAAATATAAAATACAAAATATTATTATTTAAAAAAAAAAAAAAACAAAACAAAAAAAGTTAAAATAAGAAATGTTGGACTGATTTCTCACATACAATACATACATACATTATACATAGCTCTATATAAAATAAAAAAAAAGATCTAAATCTAAATAAAATGTACACAATAAGGTAACCATGTAATGACGTGAATGCAAATTTAAAAAAGAGAAAAAAAGAAAAAAGCAAAAAAAATAATAATAAGAGAAATAAGCCAAGCCAAACATACTTAGCTATCTGCCTATCTTCGAAGTAATAATAATTTAGCATGTCGCTATATATAAAAATTGAATTTTATATTAATTTATTCACATCTTACACACACAATACTTCCTTCTGTTCCCTTAGAGATTTTCTGCTTTCAGCGCCACATTTTCTTTTGGAATTGTTTAAAGTTTTAAATAAACTTGTGCGTCCGCCTGATGATTTTATGATTTTATATGCGTCTCACGTCTAACATACGATACGATACAAACACATTCAAACTCATTATTAAATTTATGTTCATATAACAGTTAGTAAAGTTGATGGATCCATCCTATACTCTTGGGTTTGCCACCAAAATATATATGTGTATGTGTGTGACGCGTTTAACTGAACGAGTGTATAGTTTATGAAAATGATATTCTAATAATGAAATTTAAAACCTATTGAAATAACACTAAACTATTTCTTCGTTTTTCTTTTCTCAAGCATTATTTCAAATATAGTTTTTATGGAACTAAATTGAATTGAAATTTTTTTCGATTTGAAACTGTGTCCATGCAGTGGCTAAGAGATTCTTGGGATGAAAATGCAAATTTTTTTTTTTTTTATCTAATCGTTTTCGATTATTTACGACGCTATCATAATGGCAGTTATCTCTAGTAGCAGGCACGTATATAGAACAAAAAAAAAATTCAAAATTTGCGATACTTTAGTTAAGACCATAGTTTTTATGAAATCCAAAATAATATTTTCGAATAAAACGATATATATATGTGTGCCTATTGCTCGCGTGTAAAGTAGAAAAAATGAAAAGAAAAAGAATGAAATTTGTGGCACGCCTCTTATTATTGTTTTCCAATAGCCAGCCTGAATAATCCTAACGAAGCGTATAAAAATATTGATGACATTTTCAATAATATTCAATGACATAATAGTTCGTCAATGAATTTTTTTGTTTTTTTGTTTTTGCATCAAGACAACCACAAATCCATTACACACTAATACATGTTTACCTTAATGCCTAGAACTATGTATATATACCCACATACATATACACACTAACAAACACACAGGCCATGGCAAGGGCTCCTTTTTTTCCTTGATTATTTTAATATATATTTATGTAAAAAAAAAAAACAAAACAAAACAAAACAAAAGTCCAAAATTATTTTGGCATATATTGCAATTTTTTATCTTATACGATTTTATTTAACTTTGTTATTTTTATCATTTTATGTTTTAAGTAAAAACAAAAAAAAACAAAAAAAATTAAAAATTCTCAAATATGGCCTTATTTAAAAACAAAAATTTTTGAAAAACAAAGTAAACAAATCAAATACAATATAAACTTGTACGAAAAATTTCCTTATTTTCATTTTTCTTTAATTATTTTCTTTTTGCGTAATGATTTCTACCCCTCTTCCTCCCTCTCTTCCTCCTCCTCTCTTAATTTGTTTGAATATTTTTCGAAATGATGTGCAAAACAATCTTTAATTTTTATATATTTTTTAAGTCAGTATGGAATGAGAAAAAACAAAAAAAAAAAAAAAATTTATATAAAATTTTATTTCTTTAAACAAATCAAATTGTGCAATTGTTGAATATAAAAAAAAAAAAGAAAAATTCTTATATAAAAATCATTGTATCTAAACAAAAAAAAAAAAAAAAAACAACAACAGTTTTTGATTTTTAATTATTTTTTATTCGGATTCTGATCGGTTAATATACTAAAAATATTTTATTTTAAACAAAATTCACTTTTCAAAATTCTGTTCTACAATAGGGGAGAGAGAGACCTAGCGTATGCTTCCAAAATACGAGATAATAAGAATGTTTACCATCTGATGACATATTTCTTCAACTTGAACTCATTTCTCACCAAAATTACCGCGAAGAAAAAAAAATTCTTTTAAATAAAAAATTTCTTCTCTGCATATATTATTATTATTGAGTTGACGATTTTTTTAAAATACTTGCTTTCATATAAAAAAGTTATAAAAATTGCTGCCATGTTCGCCTTAAACATAAACCTTCAACTTTAGGTGTACTTCTGCCTTTAATGGATAATATAAGTTAACGCCTTTATTATTATTTAACAAATGATAAAATTTAATTTTCCTTTAGCGGCCATTATTGTAAAATTTTCTAACATAATCGATCGAGTCAACAATATTTTAAATCTGTCCTTTGCGAACCCAATCTGATGGGTACAGTAACTGTGCATAAAAACCGACAACTAACAACGTCTTAGCAGTTCGCATAACTCTTCTGTAAGGTATTAAATCATTTTGAAATGTTTCGAATAGATGCAGAGTTTCCCAAACAGAGATCAAAGATGGATATTAAAGTGCTTAATTCATGCCCCTTAATGAAGAAAACCTAAAGAAAGACAACCGAAATTTGATGCGTCAAGTTCTATTTCACTTTTTTAATATGAAATGGGCCCGAAAATAGCATTTTAAAGTAATTTCTCATATATAATCTTACATTTCACGCAAATATTTATTTTATGTTTTGTCTGCATATAAAACAAGAATGGACACTATGTTCGCCTTGGAGTGAATTTTGTGTATGGCCGATCAATGAAATATTTGCATAGCACTTTACATCAATAAATCTTGTTTGTGTGGGTGTGCGGGTGTGTTGGTTTTTTTTTCTTTTGCCTGCAAGCTGAAGGTAGAAAGAAGGTCAAAAGATACTGCTGGTTATTGCTCTCTCCGCCGCGCGGGATCACCGTTAGGTATTAATTCGCGGAAGTTGGTTGTCGTGAGCACGCTTTCTATGGTGGCACCTTAGTGGAATACACTATTGGTTTCCCCTCCCTCTGTTCTCCGCCCGCTGTCTTTCAAGCCGCCGTAGTTCTTTGAGCACTCTGCTTACAAAGGCGCCTATGGTGCTTCAGGCTTCTTTGCTGCCAGTTAACCTTTACAATATTTCACTCGGTTTTATTTGGAGTCTTCCATTCTCGAATCTTTTCCAGCGAAAGATGGTGTGCTCTGCATTTTCGTTCGTGTCCGAGCATGCCGGGCAATTTTCGGGTGTGTGGGTGTGAGTGTGCCCGTCTGTGTGTAACTTAAACTTTTCGTCGGCAGTATTGGTGTAGCTTTTCATCTACTACCAGCACGATATTGTGGTAGGCAAGCCCATTTTCATGTGACCTAGGGCCAGCAACTAAAAACGTATATGTAAAGTTCCAGATTCTTATCTAAAATTGTTCGCCCGTAAATGTCAAGACAAGATGGGCTGCGCAGATGGACCGATAAAAGTCCATTTACGATGTTTTATTAATCCAGACAGAATTAGGAGATCGCCATTGCGTACTCTATATATGCTTTACAATTTCTGGTTGGAAAGGTAATCATTTTTTTTTTAAATTTTACTCGGCAAAATGTGAACGTTCTCAAAGAGATTTATAATTGTCTTTTCTCATTTGAAATAAGTTTTAGGAACGTAACTTAAAGTCTAAAACTGTGCTTTAACCGATACCTTTACCTGAAGCTTTTTTTCCGATTAGGTAATGGGATGTGATGTGATGATCGTGAGGAATCTTCAGTTTGCACAATCCCTTCCGTAATATAGCTTTTCAAAAAAATATTAAGCCCTTGGAGAAACCGTCATGAGTTAATGTTTGTATTGAAGGAAAAAGTGTCCTTTCGTACTACCACGAACGGCATGCCTATCCCCACAGCTTCTTCCTTTCATTTGTAATATCTGTAAGCAATTTTCCAAGAATTTTTATAAAGCAGTGCATATCGCTTGAAAGTTTTCTCAGAATTATTTAGTTTACGAACTTAAATTCTTTGCTGATCCACAAATAGCTTAACAAACTTATTCCGAGTCACACCGCAGCGGTATCCCAAGATAGGCAAAAAAAT